TAAACGGCCAAGTAGTACGATCAGGGAATAATATAATCTGATCATTGCTCTGACATTGCTGTTTTAATTTGCCTATTAAAATCTGTGGCTGCTACGATCTTGGAAAAGTCAATTGTAATACAAATTCTTACATGGTTACGAATGAAAATTTCAAAAATTCAGCCAAAAATATTTCATGCCTAGATCTATTACTTTTTTACACATAAGGTATATTGAACAGATATATTATTTTTGCATTAAATTGAAGATTTTATTTAGCTTAGTTAGCATGTGCAGATTTAGGTCAAAAATTCACCGATTTTTTCTATAATTTGTTGCCATTTTGAAGCTAATTGCATTATCCGCCGTTCTTATTGGCAAAAACCTGGCGCAGTCGATTTCATCAAGCTTCTATTAAGTAGAAACTTTCACTACCAAAACCAACGCCACAGACAGAAACAGGTAGTAAGCATTTGGTTCGAGGTCCGAATAATAAGATCTATACCATAGGTACATAAGAACCTCATAAATATGCTTCCGGAGCGTCTGGCGAGTCACTATCGATGTGTGTGACCTGGCGTTGATCTCAGGGAACACAATTCCGCTGAAATTGGGCACAGCTGGAACCATTCATACAGTGCCTTATTTAACGGTTCCAAATGGTTTTTTGTGCAATTTTAACTCCTGGGAAATCGAAATAGTGCTTAATGATAGTCGAACTCGAGGATTTCCATTATTTTCTCGATATTTTCGACAACAAGGTTACCAGAACGGAATCGACGAACCCAAAATTGCCCGTAATTAGCTAATACATTATTAGAACCATAACACTATTCACATTATTAGCCGTCTGGATTGCGTTTAACGATGAAAAACTTTGTCTATCTTTGATGCGTGCTTCAACAATACTGAGCTAAATAATCAGATAACTGTCTGAGAGTTTATTAGTCCGAGATCTTATCTTTCTAACGACATATAGAGTAACTTCTACAACGAGATAAAGAATGGAAAACAACATGGTCTCACATAAAGTTACATAGTGCAGCTAGAAACATTTGAAAGCTTGCAGTATAACCAGTTGACACATTTTTTACAAGGTAACGTAATTAAGAACAAAAATATATTTTTTAATCATATTTATTAACTATTTCAATGTAAACTCGTAATCCTGTTAAGTACAAAGAGGCTCTCTTAAGCAGAAATAATTTAATATACAAGTACCTATATTAATGAAGTTCTTAACAAAATTTTTATAAAATTATTTTATAAAAGAAAAATTAATTTATATATAATAAATTTTAAATTATGATAAAATATTAGTTCACAAGTCTCAGTTGCAGCAATTAAGTCACTAAGCGTCTTCATGCCATATGATTTTCGTCCACATTTCATCATCTCGACAACAGAATGTGAAAAATGTTATTCTGTACAACGCTGGATGTGGCAATATTGCTAAAAGTACGCACGCCATCACTGTAATACACCGACGCGGTCGCGGAGGCGCTTACCGATGTTTTAATAGTAATTTCTTGTGGTCGTGTTTCAGCTAACTGTAAATTAATAAGTCCTTATATATTGTTATAAAAAAAACTCAGGAGTTGCTCTATACATACCGGCAGCAGCAGGCAGAGGCAGATGCTTAACAGTACTAAAGACAGATGAATAAATTTCGTCATTTTTGTGCGTGTATTGAATAGTGGTTGTGATATCCAGCAGTGTTGATAAGCAAATGTTAGATGTAAATATTAGTAGTAGCTTTTTATAACAGTAAAAACTATTTCTGAGTCATACTTGCGGTTTTGATGTCTGCAGCACATGTATCTCACAGAAGTTAGAAGCAAATAAACCCACCCATTATTTGCTAAGAATACTTTGAATGCAATTAAAATCGTTTGATAATTTGCATGCCAGTTTACAACTTTTAAAACTTCAATAGTAGGGTATTTTCTGCTTTTAAATCTCCCTAACTACTATACCGTTGCTTGCGTACTTTATTTTACCTTACATGAAATATAATTCTCAGTTATCGCGCCATTTATTGAGAATTTCCAATCATAATCGCATCAACTGTTGCCCTTACAGACACCTGAGTGTGATGCACATCTTTATTGCTCGCTATCAGTGGAAGCTAGTTTCTGTGAATTTTAAGATTGCAATGACAAGGCTAATTTCTGCTTAGTTCTGTTGAAAAAAATAATTTCATTAAAAGCAACTTACATGTGTATAAAAAGCTCCATCTCTGGAATATTTGCATCAGTTCACCACGATAGCTTACACGCAGCAGCTCTAAAAAATACAGAGAAATCAATTCACCATGAATAAATCCTTGACTTGTGTGTTTCTACTCTGCATCTGCCTGTCACTGAAGGTATTTTTTGATACTAAATAAACTATTTCACATAAAAAAATTCTTATAATTTCTTAAATCTCTGCAGCTGACGGCGGCGCGTCCCGAAGGTGTGGTGATAAGCAATTCGGTCAGCGCTGTTTCCACAGCCAATGTCAAAAATGATCCGAATCTGCGTTCATTCACGAATTTCGCCAATGCCAATTCGGTGCAAAAAGATTTGTATCACATACTTTGCAACTGTGGGCCACAAGAGGAGAACTCAAGCAGTGCGGGACAAGACTGAATGCTGTCGTACTTAAAAAAAATTACCATGCATAATATTAAATTAGTTTTAAACAATTGTTAGAAAATTCAAAATAAATACATATTAGATATAATTAAATATTTTTAGAGTTATTTGGCATTCAAAAAGTTAGGCATCCAAGAGTTAGAATTTACAAAGCAAAAATATGAATATGTTTTATAAGATTTAGAACTCAACAATTTTACATCCCTTAGTTCATGTGTCGCACATCCTCAATACCAGTATAATCAATCGCTCAGTCAATAGCTTAAGCTCATGCAGGTGTTATGAACAGCAAATAAAATATATTACAAATTAAGAAAAGCTTTAATACTAACTAAGCTCAGTTTTGCAATATTTCGCGAAGAACTAGTGGATTTGTCTTTATAAGATAATTCTGTTTTATAATTGAGTTCGACGATCTGCAATATAACGGTAAATAAAGCTTGCAAATAACTGCAGGCTGCTAAAAGTTTTGAATTAGGTTTCAAAACTAAAGGAGATCGTGAATTCTTTGATTTTAAAAAGTCAGCTTTATCATATGATTTTTCTGCAATCTAAGTAATAAATGACTATTTACTGAACTATTTTGAACCAAGCAAGAAAGGTGGGAGGTTTTGTCCTTATAAAGGTGAAGTAAAATATGTTAATATAAAGTATCGAAATCGGCTATACTATTTTTTAATGGTTTCAAATTTCTAAAGATTATAGTTAATTTTAATTTTATAAATTATGTAATCTTTAAAATCATAATATTTTCTGAGTTTCAAATAATATATGTAATGTTTATATGGTATAAAGAATAAAGTTCTGTCAAATACGGTAGAACTCATTTCATAAATTTTTTTTTCAACTAAATCAATATAATGATAAAAAATTAATACTTTCAACTTATAAAAGAATAAAAATACTAAAAACAACGCACAAATATTTTAGAACTATTTGAATTTTCGAAATCACTATTTCCGATTTTTATTGTATTTTCACTTTCATTTTATTGTTTTGAATACAGCTATTAATCTACTTGTATATTTACGAAATTTATCACCAAGATACCAGGTCGTATGAGTAACATTGCAATGAGTAACATTGCATATATAAAATATATTTACCATTGATCTAAGTTAATAGCCAATAAAGCTCAGTAAAAGTTCCTATATATGCAAAATATATTATTAGTAGTATAATGCTGTATTATTTGTGGTAGATTTAAGACACAGAGCATGCAGAACTATATATGCTAAGAAGTCACAAGAGAAGTCTCCATCAATATATAAAAAATTTGTTAGATATGCATCGCATAATCGTGTATAGTCTATAAAACATATAACAATTAAACTTTTTGAAAATCATATTCAGATGTGGGTGGTACGACGATAAGTTAACACCATTCTCATTCATAACTACAATACAATCACGTTGACGGTTAACGACAAAATTTCAGCCGAATCGGCGCTATAGTTTTAGTTTGTGCGCGTCATGTCCGCGAGTTTTGGAAGCATGAGCAATATTGATCGCTGATTCAATCATTGTTTTGATAAGTGAATCGCGCAGTGAAATTAAGGAGCGCTTTATTGCTGTAGACAGTGACTTTTTTTACTGCGATGAAAAGCGTCTTTCACGGAGTCCAACGTTACCAAAATTCAGGATCTTCTATTGACAGACTGCGATTGAAAATAATAAAAATATTGCGCATGAGAAAGATTTCCCCGCGATTATTACAGTGTGTCCTCACTCGAAATAACAAGAGCAACGTGAGACCACTTCACAAAGCCTTTTTCTTTATTTAGGCGCAAACGGATGGAGTTCATGCGTACTTTCGTAACAGTTTCCGTTGAAGCAATAGATTTCACTGGCGAAACAGCTTTGTAGATGACGGAGACTATACTACCGGCGGAAAAAGGGATGGCCACCATTTTCTAGGATTCTACATTAGCTACCTGGAGAAGGACATTTGGCACAGTGCTGTAATATGCCGAATTGTGAAAAAAAGATTGTCCCATATCTTTGCCATCGCCACGGTCAAATTTATCGAGTTAGGCTACGAACTGCGACCCATCCATGATATTATACAGTTTTTGCTTCATGTGATTTCTTTAAAGTAACAAACCTGAAAAATTTGCTCGCAGTTCAGAAATGTTAGTCGAATGTTACATGTAAATTAATTGTTAATTGGATCATGTGTGTGTAATTGTTAATTGAAACTTTAGCAACATTGTAGTAACATGATGACATAGATGAGTATCTTAGGAGTATGGGGATATCCCTCATACGCAGTAAATGGACCTGATTTCTAACTACCTACAGATATTCCACCCAGCAATTCATAGAAAACAAGTTTTAAATCGATTTATACACAAGTACGCCCTCATATGCATAAAGCCAATTTCTGATACTGATAATGTCAGTATCATGCGAGTATCGAGAAAAGCTAAATCGTAGCAAAACTGGTTTTTATCAAAGCGCGCATTGCCACCGCAAATTAAATGGAAATGGTATTTATGTGTTAGAAAATAAAATATTTACGACTAATAATGATGAATGCACTTATGATGCTATATAAAATTTCGTATTTATTGCCTGCCTATTCAGTTGTTGAAAGCACATTCGCAACGAAGGAAGCACCTGATATTAACAGAGATTATAGCAACAATGGTGGAATTCTGGGGCATTTTTGTGGTATTTTCCGCCTGCGCAGCAATCCAGGTACGTTAGGTCGCACAAAATTATGTCACAAAAACAAAAAATTATTATATAATGTTTTTGTTGCGTTTTACAGCTGACAGAGTCGCGAATTCAGCATGCTTATCGTCCCACCAGCCTCAGCGCCTCCGATGAGTTATCGGACATTTCAAATAGTATAAGCGACTCCTCGAAGGATGATAGTGCTTCCAGCTCACTTTTGCAACGAAATATGTTTGTGGACACTTCGGTTACTTCTTCAGATTCAGCGCAGGAGACACAACGCGTAGAACATTCAACAGTAGCCGAATCAACCGAATCAAGCGTAGAGAGCACAACCCCGAGTACAACTACACCGAAGATACGTTTGAGCTTAAGTGAAAGGCGTGAAGAATTATCTGTATTTACCGACAATCTCATGACTGAGTATTCGAAACATTACGTGGGTAAAACACGTGACGTCATCAAAAAAATTATTGTTGAACTTGAAACCTCAACCGAAAAGAGTGACAATCTTGAAGAGAGACTAATTGAAATAAAGGCTATTCTAAAAGAACTGGATGCTTTTGACATAGAATCCGATGACTTGGATGATGCCTCAGATATTGTTCATGAACTGAATGATGTGCTTGATGAGCCTGTGAATGAGCCACCAGAAATGGTCGCAGCACTCAGAAAAGTTGGTTGGCTGGATATGCGCTACAAGCTGCACGATGAAACAGTTGCAATTCTCGACAAATTTGGCAAAGCATTCAATCAGTTTGTGGCTACGCTATCGCCGTGGGAGCGACTGACAGAGGCCGGATTAGTCGAGCTAAACAAACGGTTTAACAAAGACAAAACTGTTGACCAATGGGATTTGTTCGATGAGTTTTGGACATATTTCGAGTAATAAACAACTATAAATAATAGACGCTTATATAGGTAGATCTCTCGTGTGCTATATTTAGAATAAATATAATATGCCGACTTACGACTGTAGAATTTCTAATTCAATTTTTCATAATTATCATTTCAATAAACATCTTTGAACTTTAACTTTGCGAGAAATTAGTTTTTCTATGAAAAAGACTTACATCTAATTAATTTTTAATTGCCCACTTATAATGAAAAGTAAGCGCCACGAATGAATATGATTAATGAATGCTGCTAACATCGTGTCTCGTGCTAGAACATCTGCTTGCTTGATACGCTAATGCAGGTTCAGTATGCAAATATGAATTTGTAATAAAATTGTTTTATATCGCGTTATACTGATTGCTAGGAATTTTTGGAATTTTTTTAAGCGGTGTTTATTACTTCAGACCTTTCAGCAAGTAACTTCAAATCTAGTTTTGAACATTCTAGAATATGTAAAGTAGTTGCTGACCTAACCTAGTTATAGTTTTACACATTTTGGTTTCTTGTATGTGATTCCATAATAATTGATATTGTTATAATTGTGGCATTATGTGTCAGGTTGTCCAGAATCAATTTTGAATTGATCTGAATTTATGGCACATTCTCTAAAGTGCCAAATGCAAGGTGGTGCTATTATATATACTTACTTTACTTATGAAGAAATACCCTACTCAAATACCCAAATAAAACCTGAACCACATTGGCTGCGTCGATCCACAAGCCCTTTGGTTCCGATAAGCGATACAGCCAAGGAAACAATCAATTTATTAAAGAAAATTTTTGGTGAGCGCATTATCTATCGCCTTGGACGTCTGTGGTGGTCTCCAAAATCGTGCGATTAAGTAAAGCTGGACAATTTTTGAAATCACTAGTCTACGGCGATAAGTCTGAGACGCTTGATGCTTAGGAAGAGAATATTCGTCGTTGTCAAAAATTGGGGCTCTCGGCAGGAATTTATTCGATTTATCATTTCTTCTTGAAAACTACATTTCTAAAAAAAAACATTTTAACATGGTAGCGTAAATAAATCGAATACATATTTAAAACATTTGGTATTAGACTGTATTGTATGTAGCAGTAGTGTTGCAATTGAAAATGATATCTGTATCAGATGCTCAACTCTTCAGTTTTATTTTGGAAACCGTTAAGAAAGTACTTTCAATGGTTGTGTTTCTATTGCGCCTGTTTTACAACCGAGTTAAGGTGGCATTCTAAAATGATACTTTTATTATTTGTTATATATTTATATTACCTTTTTGATCTTCATACTTATATATTCTTCCGGAAACAAACATTTTATAATATAATTACTCCAAATACTGAAGCACAGAGATGTAATCAATTGGTACTTGGAAACGAAAATCGCTGTCAAAGCACCCGTAAACGAACACCCTTTCAATTATTTAAAAAAAAAAGCAGAAATACTTTACTAGCTTGCCGGTTAGGGCATGGTAATTAAAATTACAAACTTTACCATTCATATTTGAAAAATGATATAACATGCTAATTGAAAATTATAAAACGTCAGTGCTACTTTATGTAATGCCAATGAAAGTTTTAGGCGACTAACTGATGGCGCAGAGACATGCAATAAAGTGGCTTGTTGGCCGGCTCGTCGTACAGGTTAGGAAGTAATATAAAAAAATAAGATATGAGGTAATTTAAATTATTTGTTGTCTTCTACAGTTTGTGGTATCTCAAGGACCAAATCCGATGCGACAATTTTATTAAATATCGAATATGTAAACCAACCAGTTATATGATTAAACCCAATAAGTACAAATTCAATTAAACCAATCAACTCAATAGTAGAAAAACCAGAACCAGAGCCAAAGCGCAAATCCAGCTCACATATAAGTGTAACAACACATCTGATCCACAAGTAGGTCTAAAGACTAAAAAAAAAATTAAAGAAGCCCCCACTTTCAGAATTTAGCTTGGGCAATGACATTTAAAAATATATATGGTGTCCTATAATCCATTCGAAAGCAATTTGATTGGAAATGGGCACAAAACTTTTAAATTATACTTTAACTCCGATTGTATTTCGCCCACAGTTTTTTGATAAAACAATTTTCAAGTACTGTACATTCTACTTTTACTTTTTTTATTGCTATTTAATGTTATAGTGGCCATTCGTTGGTTTTACAAAGGATTCTAATGTAGTAGTTTCCTCACATTTTTCTACCACATAATATTCCATCATACCGTAACTAACACAGGGCATAATACAAATGAAATGTATATGAAACGTAGTCTGATAGATATGGTCTGTGCCGAATATACATAACATAGCTTGTGAAAGAACTGATTATGGTTAATGCTTTCCAAATATTAAAAGATATGCGAGAATCCTCTGTAGTTATCATCTCCGCTAGAGGCCGAACTTGGATGTCGTCCCAATTTTTATAGACGCCTTATTGTTGTCCAACAAATGGAAGCAGCTGCAAGCGACTATGGCAGCTAATGATTTTTTTTCGAGATTTCTAATAGTCGCAAAACTATCGCAGGTTTGCCATTGTCTACCGCTTGGCAACCCCTGTCAAAATAAATACTTTTGATTTTATTCAGAAGCTGACATGGCGCTCACGCAACATTAACCTTTCAATAAGGCGATCGAGGATTTTAATCTAAGAATAGGGACGAAATATGGGTTACCGGCAAACAATTTCGAACTCTGAAATGCTTCCAAAAAAATTTGTTTGCCATTTATTTTATCTTTTCGATGTAATTTCATTTTCAAGTCTTAAGAAACTTCTCAGGTCAGTCAAAAAATTGCAATCTACATTCAAATTTGAAGTGACTTCTTTGTGTTGAAGCGTTAACGTTTTCATTAATGACCTACCGTGATGAAGAAATTTTAATTTTAACGGTGTAACATAAAAAAAAAATCAGCTTCATTCAACACTTTTATAAGGCGTGAGCTAAGCAAACTATATAAAATGCTGAATAAGTGACATATTGGTCAGTAGCAGTTCAACACTGTTTTACAACAGTTACAAAATACACAATCTACAAGGAAGTTGTGAATAATGGCACAAAAATGGATGTTGTCCTTGATCGGAGTTATGGTGGCTATACAGGTATATAGTATATATATATATAAATATGGGTAGCTATAATTTATTCACTGCAAAATTAACTTTATAGCCTTTTCTCTTTCCAGTTAGTAGCTGCACAATTTGCCGGCCTTCCTGGTGGTTACAATGGCTTAGGTCGACGTATGAAATATTTCAATCGTGATCCTGAACCACAACAAATGGTCGCAACTCCTCTAACATATGCTCAAAATGCTAAGGATCAGCCACAACAGGCCATTGTTGTAGCACTAAATGATGATCCAGCGCCAGCATCATAATTTCCTGATCTACAAGTAAATAGTGGCCAAAATGTAAAGGGTGCAAATTAAATTTTTAAATAAATGCAAAATAAGCGTATTAGCCAATTTAAAATAAGATTTGCTCTTAATTGAAATGGAGCTTAACAGAAGTAGAAAGTACAAACAAATGTATATGAAAAAAATCATTAGCGCTGTGATCTGATTGAATAAAAGTGTCACTTAGTTTTCCAAAACTCTCCCAATCTCCACGGAGGTAATTTATTTGGTATGGTAAATTTGATTAACAAATTGTTATATTAGAATTTACTCAACAAAGCCCTAAATGGTAAGTTGTTGTCCACTAAGATAGTTCCTCCATTATATTTTATTTAGAGAAGGCAATTTTCAAGGTTATACATTATGAAATATACAACCTTTGAAAAATCAAAACTATGAAATGTAATTAAGAGTTTCACAAAATGTATTAAAGGTTTGGGAATTGCTATAGAAGTTCAGTACGAAAATGCAAAAACATATTGCTTGCGGCCGCGCTGGCTACACAGGTAAGATAAAACCCAACTATTTCATTAAAGTTATAGTTCTCCAAATCTATACTAAAACAATATTCCATAAAAGCATCAGAAAAAGTAAGAAAAGGCATCAGCACAAAATAAATTATGAACAATCAGAATCAATTAGAAAAACACTTCAACAACCAGAGCCAAAGCAAAAATATTTTCAAAACAAAAACTTGAAAGACAAGCAAGTTCCGAATTCTAAAAGAAATCTTAAAATTGCCAAGGATTCACTTAAATTGAAAATATCAGAACAACTACCAGCTTCTCCAGTTGTTTCAAGGCAAAATCCAACTGCAAAATTGCAAATGAAAATGGAAAATTTCTTAAAATAGCGAGATCTCTCAACTATACATTGAGGCAATTAGAAAGAAAAGATAAAACGCCTTATATGCATATCTCAGCAAGAAATGCCTGAAGAACTAAGCTTGGTAGAATATCAAAAACAACAATTGTCAGAAAAAGTGACATATGACAAAATGTCAATTAAGAAAGAAACAGAAGTTTGAAAAATCTAACTCAGAGCAAAAAATACCTAGTGATTCAAAATCGGTTGAGGGATTGAATAAACCGAATGAATCAGAACAACTATCACATTCTTCAGTTGTCATGGAAAAAATTATATACCGAAATCTGACAAAGAATTAATTAAGCATATCGAAACAGCTCCAAAATCATCTAATATCCCAAATTCTAAGGAGAAAACATTTAAATAATCAAAATTTAAAAAAAAATCAAACACAAGGAACTGAAAGCTAAAGTTAGATCCAAAAAGTATTGAAACAAATCGGATTCTTCAAGCAATCGGTGTACGAATATACATGGATGTTATATTTCAGCTACAGCCCGAGCTGGAACAATACCTAGAACCGTGCTGATATAAGAGGAAGTAGTTTTAAGTAATTAGGTACATATGCTCTATTTTCCAAATAAAGTGTGATATATGCAGTAGCAATATTCTATGTTCTTTAAACCCCAATGGTTTGGTTTATAAAGTTCTTGAAATTTAAAGACTTCTTATCCATATACTATATAAACCGAAACAAATCACATATTTCAATTTTTTTGTCATGCTATACAATGCATTCGATTGATTTAAATTTGAAATTTACCATATACTTTATTACTCTTAAAATCTGTGATAATGTATTTTTTTGCAAAATTCATAAAAATACACATATATACGACGCAATATTCTTATTGTTCTTATTCACTATATGCTACAAGTGAAACAAGCAATACATCTAATGTCTAGTCAACACCAAGTAAGAGCTTTGTTGTTGTTTTCACTAGCCTTACAGGTAAAAAAAAAATATTTTTAATGAAGATTGATAACCATCGACCCTATTTAACAGTAGGCAGCGAAACAAACGTTGGCAGAAACTAATGTTGTAGCCAAGACCCTCAAATCCAAACGATGCTGAAGCAAAGATAAAGTTTATACCGGTACCATTTGTATAGGAACTCCAATCGTCACCACTAGAAGACGAGTCGGAACTAGAAACGCCGGGAATATACGGAATATTAATACAACAAAAAAAAGATCCAAAATAAGGGTTAGAAATTATTCATATAATACGCGCGCCGAAATTGATATTAGAAAAACAACCGGTAAACGGATTTATACTACAATAGGGTCAATTGTACATTACAAACAAAACACCAAGATCCAATTGGATCACCTCGTTTAACTATCTTTTTGTGGTAAAATGGAAATCATATACATTTTGCATACACACGAGACCATATAAAATGAAATACCATTCGAATTTTAAAAAAAAAAGTGATTAACAATCAGAGAGTAGACTAACTATGACGTCATCCTGTACCAAAAGTATGTATTGTATAAATCAATATAAAAATTTAATAAGGATTCATAAAAACTCGAAGTCGAATTTGAAAATAAATTAAAATTTTATGTTTCAATATATTTTAAACTATTTTTGAAGTAATGACATCGTCAATGTGAATACGCTTTCACTCCCTTCGAAAATCGAAGGTATAAGTAATATTACCATTTTGAAGGTTAACTTTGAAAAACAGAGAACTTGTGACTTCATTTTTCGAAAAGGAATGGTCTGGCTCAATACACAACCGAAGGTTGTACACGATTACGACAAATTTAATACATCTAACCTATTTTGTTTCCTACCTATTATATTTGTATTAAAGTTTTCCAAGTATGTCTTCCTGTTAGGCTATTCTTAATTAATTTTTATTCTAATCGCAGTGAAAAATACTTGGAATTGTTTTAATTTCTGTCATCCACATTATAAATATTTATAAAAGTGACAAAATTTCAGCTGTGAAACTGATACTGCGGAATTCATGGAAAGAAACCCCGGAAAATACAAAGTTATCACAGAGCATCAATTAAGAAGAACACAATTTTTAGTAATTAATAACTGCGAGTACTATGCAGTCCTCCTAAATAAATGTGAATGATATAAAACGCTAGTTGAGCACCGCAAGAAGCTCAGTATCAGTCAGTGAGTCTTCACAATTCACAGCAGAAATGAAAATACATGCCGTAAGTGAGAAAACATTGGAAATGTTGGCGCACAGATTATTTATTGTAATGATCGGCTTGCTTGTAACGGAGGTTTGTATATATTTTGTAGTTTATTGTGAAAAATCAAAAGTAATATTTTTGCTCCTTTTAGTTAGCGGCAGCACATCCTCTATTGACATTTAGCACTTTGTTCGTCTCGGAGGAGGATGGATTAGTAAGGAACATTAAATATGCGGACCAATTGCACTCTTCGGAGGAAGTGGCAACTAAAACGAGTAACAATTTATGCGCTACAATTAGTTTAGCTAATACCCCACCAAAAATTTTGGAAAAGGCTTTCAAAATATTCGCTAAAGTTTTGGTTCGCGACTCAAGAAACGTTAGTAAAACGAAATTGAGGGAAGTAAAAGCGATGTATACGGATAAAGAAACAAGCATCGGATATTTCTTCATTATGATGAGAGCTTTTCGTAAAGTCAATACCACATGGGAGGGCGAACCAATATACAATGCATTAGGCGAAATTGCCGCCAATACTTCTAATTCCAATGCGATCGAAAGTAAAACGGCTTGGTTGGATAAAATAATTGAAGGCGTTGTATGTAGTTTGCTAAGAGCTCAAGAACACAGAGTTACAGATAATTTGATTGACCAAATCACATTTAAAAAAGAAATTAGCGAACACTTCGACGTGTTTAAGCAGTTTTGGTTGGATTACGCGAAATCTAAGAGAGCACAGTATCAAAGTTACACCACCAGTGCACCAATAAGGCAGAAGAAACAAGCAAATCAAGAGATTTCATGTGTAATTCCCCAACATGAGTTTGCCTTAAAATCAGCCCATACAGCTTCCCGCGCATTTGCTGAGATTCTTGTACGTGATTCGGAAATAGTCGTGGAAAGCAAATTGAAAGCATCAGATCCCATGAATAAGGTTGAGATATCCGATTTGTCCGCAATGCTGAGAAATATTGAAAGCTACGAGATTTTTGATGGAAGTATGCAAGGAAGACTTATGTACCAGAAACTTCAAAGAATCAATCAAGAAAGGGATGAAGAAAACTCATCGTGGCATATTAATATTATGGATAAGATATTTTGCCTTGCACAGAAAGTGCACTCGGAAAGTGATTTTAAGTTATTAGTTGGAAATACCACAATGACAGCGACAATTAAAGAACACTTTGACATATTTAAACAATTTTGGCTAAACTAAACAGTTTTGATATTAAAACGCGCAAAAATGATATCGAAGAAGCTAAAGTATGATACGCTTTTGTGGTTATGCAAATTTAGTCCAATATAAGAAAATTGTTATGTTTTTTTTTGCAAACTAATTAAAATATCTTAAATTGAGAATAAGATAATATGTTTTGTATGTCTAACTACTTATTTATTTCATTAATAAACTATGTTTTTATCAGGAATTTTGCGAGCACTTATTTATTTTTATTTTGCCGTTCATTTGTTGCGCTCAGTAACTTTATGATTCTACTATCTAACCTAAAATATATATGAGATAAATATTTATCAAAATATCCAATGCTAAGATTTGATATCACTTATTGCTCCCTCGGTACCATAGAACACAAAATAAATAATATATATTATATCAATAATATATATTTAGTTTTACTAGCGAGCCCGCCCGCTTCTGACACAAATTAGATAACGGCTTCTATACCATCCCCCGGTGACTGTTAATTTAATGAAAAATCGCAATTCTATACTCCTCTCAGATATATTGTAAATATGTATAGTAAGAAGTATAAGCATGTCAAAATGTAGAGAAAAAAGCTGGAAAATAATAAGGGTATTCAGAACGAACTCTTATCTGCTAATTCGATTGTTGATACTTCGTTAAAACCATTTACTGTGAACATACGTTTTGCTCTATCTCAGTAGTCTGGTAAATTTGGTTCCAAAACAGTTGATTCAATTTTATTAAATACTTACTTTTGAAAAATTTGTCTAAAATAATTTTTTAGCGATCAGTTACCAGGTAACAAAAAATGTGTCAAGCTTGTTACTCGGTAGAATGATAATCTCTTAATTTTACAAAAACAAAATGCACGTAAAAAACTACACAATAACGACTAACGAATTAACAAAGCTGGTGTGAATACCCCTAATAAAATTGCACGCCAATTAATAGTTGAAAATTAAAAAAAAAAAAAATTATTCGAACTGAGAAATGGTTGAAATGTTGTCGCTTAAACAAATACTCGCTCTCTACATAGTTTTTTGTGTAATACTAAAATTTTCCTTTATTAGTTGGCTGTAACACAACCCATATTTTCATTAAAACCGTTGATTTGGGATAGGGGGATCCATCGTCACAGAAAGTAATATATCAATCAACCCACTTCATATGTTTAAATATAAGCTGTGCTAGATATTGTTTTTCACTGTAGTAAACTTATTGAAGAGATGAAGTAAAAACTAGATTATATTATATAGTTATAAACGCATACGCCCGGAATAAACACAGTCCATAAACTTTACTAAAATATATTGCGGTATTCTTTAAAACTATTATAAGTGCAATAAATATCTTTATAGTAACGTTAAAAATACGTTAAAAATATTTTAATACATATTAGTTAGTCAAAAGTTTATATGATCGTTCCAAGATAAGAAGTAAAATCCTTCCACAACAATCCTATATAATTTCAAACAACTCAAACTTAGTCCTATACTAAAAGTTTATATATTATATAAATATGATAATATGGATATATCGAAGGCCAATTGAGTAAATATAAAAATTCAGTGTAAACTTTTTCAATAGACTGAGAACCACAACTTGAGGCAGTATAACAACACTTGTTAGCTTTTGATTTAAAATTCAAAACATCGAATTTCTATCGTAGATGTTTAGCGAACTATTGTATAATGCTGGAATCACTTATACTTGTAGTCTAATATGGGACAAAAAGAAAAATTTGAGAAAATTACGATTTATTTCTTAACATGGCTTCTATTGAAGTCGATAAACCCAGCGATGCTTCAACGTCTTTAACACGCCTGAAAAATACATTTTCTAGAACTCTGCAAAATAAATTTCGAATTTTGTTTTCACCGGCTCTAAGGGAGGGGTTCAAATCCGAAAACCACTGCTTACAAACCATTTCTTTCGTCTCACGTTTCTGCCCGACAGGTGACTTTTTCAAGTTTGAAAACCGAAATCAGTAGTAAATTGCAAATACAGAATAGAGTGCGTAGAGCAGCAGTTCGAAACTTGAGTCGAGCAACTTAACCATGACGACAGCAAATACGATAGTGGCGCCATTGGGCGGTGCGGCTAAGTACTTATCGGACCGACCTTGTATTTAATGTAAGAATATTTTTTATATAAACCACTAAAATCGAATAAATTTATGGATGTACTATATAAATTTGATTACCATGAAATTTAGTTATAAACTAGAGCGTGAAGTAGTAAAAGCAGAAATCTTTCAATAACTATAAAAAAAAAAACATTTAAAGGTTATAATATAAAAGACGCGTTTAAAATAACAAATATTTTATTTGCCGCCATGTTTGCGATGCAGGTTTGAGAATATAAAAAAATATATTTGTTGGAAAATGTTCAATATCTTTATTGGTCCGTTAGTTATTAACAGCTTTACTCGCAATAAGCGTATATTACGATGACATAAACTCACCACCAAAAACCCAAGGTATTGAGCAGTATAAAAATTCGATGTGTGAAAAAATCAGACAAGACATGGAAATACTTAAACATTTCAATGCGTAAATAAATTAGCAGAAATATCTTTAAAAATGTTTAATGAAAATTGTGAAATTGTGCTGATGGAAATCAGTTCATAATTAGATTAGGGGTATTCAAACCGAACACTGATCTGGTTATTCGTTTGTTGATACTTCGTTAAAACACATTTTTTGCTATCTTAGTAGTGTGGTATATTTTGTTTCAAAAGTGATGCTTCATCTTTAAGTAACGAAAAAATGATCAAGCTTGCCAGGCTGGTACTTCGTTACTCGGTAGAACCTATCGTTCCGTTAATTTTACAAAAACAAAGTTTAAACGGCAGCTATATACTCAAGTGATCCTCATCATCCAACTCATGTCTCAAAAACTGTGAAACTAGTTCGCGCATATAATGGCGGACTGGTCTAAATTGATTCAGCTCGGCACATATACATAGGTCATTTCATGTACATTTTTCATTAAAAAAAATTATTCGTTTATGAACTTACTTTACTTACTACTTTTCTTTATACCGCCAAAAAACTTTAACGTATATTTCATTGGAAAGCTGAGAAAATATCGTTAATAATATGCCGGCTAGTTATTTGTATAATACAATACTTTTCTTAGTGTATGTAAATGTTGAAAGGTACTTTTTTTGAGCATTGAAATTTTGAAAATTCATAACTCCAAAATTTTTCACATTGAGTCGAAATAAAAAAAACCGACTACAATATTTTGCCTCAAATAAAAGAACACAAAAAATGTTTTGTACAAAAAAAATGTTTGAATGAAAATTTTGGACCCATATAATTTAAAGGGTCTACGACGTTTCCTTTTGGGGGTTAAAAATATCGTAGGAAACTCGCATAATATACCCTGTTCAGGGTATAAAAATATTGGAAATAAATGTCTGTTTATGGCGATTTAATAGTACAACTAAATCTGCTTCAAATTTGTCAAGAAAATTAGTATTAATTAAAAATTTATATAAATGAATTACTGCTCTATTTGGGTCTTTCATAAATGACGCATGTAACCTTAATTTGTTTTTCGGATATCTAGAGAAAGCAATACAAAAGTTTGACTATATATAATTCAACCGTTAAACAATTAGAGGCAAATTAAAGGAAAATGCTGTGGTGTTTCATTTTCATTATTCATAACGCGAACAAGTAATTAATGAAAGCACGACTCGATTCTATTAACTGCATCTAGTGGGCGTTGACTTGATCGCACTCTCTTGCGTAACTTTGTGGGGAAATCGTGGGTTATTTTTACACGTTTGAAATATATTTTCCAGATATAAGCTTTTGACACATCTGTCCATATAACATGTATCTTTGTAACTAACAGCGCGTTGTTCTCAGAAATATGCATATATTGTATTTACACTGAAAATCTATGCCCTTACCTATGCAGATATATACAAACTTATATCAATAATTGCTAGCTCATTCAAAACTCGTAATCCCACATAATTTTCTCAGTCTTTGAAAAGCTTAAATGATTTCCGAGTACTACATGCAAGTACATATACAACCTGTATTTATTGTACAAAAACTACTCACGATTGGGAGAGAATAAATAAAATCAAAGTTCCAGCGTTAAATGGTATATAAATTAAACGCCGATTGCAGCTTTACTTAAAAGCATTAAGTGCTTCTAACGATACGTACGAAAACTAAAAAGCACACACACACAAACTTATACAATAAAATGGCGAAATCGATGGGATTAGCGGTGCTGTGCGTTTATTTATCGCTACAGGTGAGTTGAGCCGATCCGCAACTTCCAAAAACAATCAACTTATATAAATATTCTACTTTCTTATACTTGCAGCTCACTGCAGCCTTTCCTTATCAAAATTCCTTAAATGGCGTCGAGGACGATGACTCAAAACTAATTGGCTTACAGCACAGCAAAGCAATAAAATCAGCCGAGGATGACTTTCGTAAATCGCTACAACCCGTTTTGGCTAGCACGCTCGACATCCTAGAAGAACACTCAAAAACACTCATATTGGAGTCGGCTAGCTTTCTCGACGATCTACTGGTCGAATTGAACACACTACCCGAGGACAATGAATATGTTAAAGAGCTTATACCACAACTGACAAGTCTGCTGGATCGCCTGGAGAAACTCGATTTAGATGACGAATCGACGCCGGCGCTAGAAGAGAAAGCAGCTGTTTTACTGGCTATCGCTAAGGTATATGGAAACTTCGACCTCATAGCGAGGAGTAACGGTGACAGTGGCGAGCAGGCTGTGGTAAAGGTAGCCTTCCAGAAGTTAGAATCAAGAAGTTTAAATGAGCGTATTAATAAATCATCGCAGAGAGCGGTAGACAAATTCACCACAGTATTTGCGCCTTTCTGGAATTCGCTCAGCGATGTGCAAAAAGAGGAACATGCAGACCTGGCCGATTGGTATGAACGCTTCCAAGCCATTGAGTCCACGCAGGAGAAATTGAAAAGTTTTGTAGAATTTCTAAACATTATTCATGATATAGTTATGCCAAAAATAAATTAAGAACAAAAAAGTCTACAACGTGATATTAAAAATATGTATTTGCTTCCTTTTTTTATAAAATATAATATACAAACAATTTTAGTATATGAATTAACTTAGTTGTTTACTAAATGTTTACTTATTTTTTTATTACGCATTATTTTGTATTTTACTATATTGAATCATAAGGTATAAAAAGCTTTTAATTGCATATATTTCTTTGCATTTTTTTTATAAAATATACAAGGTTCTTTAGAAGTTGAAATGTTTCTCGATTTACCGTTAAGATTTAGTGTTTCAGATTTTTGTACTTAAACCATACCTACGTATATGATAAATATATATATTAATCTCATCAAATTTTAAAGTGCTCTGAAACATCAACGATTATCAATGAATAACTTGAGAGGATCGACCCATTTGCAATACGAAACTTTCCAATTGAATCTTTTTATGGGATAATAAGCCCAACATGGCAAAAATATATTGCTCATTGAGATCTACCAAGACCAGAGATTATTGTTGCTAGATCTGTTTTTATACTCTACACTTAATAGTGTGAAACTTTTTACTAATATCGCTGGATATGTTTTTGGAATAACAGCTAGTGGTGAATTGGCGGCGGAGCTGCCATTTTGCGAGAATAGATGTTTTTTTTTTAAAGTTTGAAGTAACAGTCAATTAAAATGTAAGTTAATTGGAAATCTATTCGGGGCTTTTATTGCATAAATACTCTCTTTAATATTTTAAAATATATTATATTATATTACATAATAGAACCAGCGATTCTAATTAAAAAGGAGTAAACATAAGTTTAAAATTTAATTGACCTTTCTTCCTCCTTGAACTCCAGTCGTGTCAACAAGAATGTACGTATGTATGTACTTACTTACATATATATATATAGATATATAAATGTATGTGTAAACTAGTTAAATGAAAACCCCAGCAATTATTGTATCAATAACTGGCACTAAGCTTAAGCTCATTAAATAATTTTCTCTTTAACCACCCACTGTTGAAAAGCTTCGGGCGCAAATTAAATCCGCAATTTCATTGTAAGTGGCGCTCTTTAATTGGGAAACTACAGAATACAATATACTTAAAACGTATACGATTTATATTGTAGAAAATGAAAATGTTAAACAGGGATTAAAATAAAATACGTTTTACTAAGAACAGCAACTGATTCAAATTGAACAAAATTGTGAAATGTAATAGCATAAGTAGACATAAAAGTAGTAGAGTACGGGAAATTTAAGATTCAGTAATTTAAAGCTGGCGAAGAAGGCAGCTGAAAATGGCAGCAGCTAAAAAAATGCTTACTGTTATCAATTTCTTTATGATCATGAAGGTAGTTATATTTTCAGTAAATCAATGATTGCCTTTAATACTGATACTAATAAATTTAATATATATTTACAAATATTCAAATTAAATTTCAGCTGATTGCAGCATATCCACACCCATATTACAAAGCAAATGGCAACACCCTGTATCCCACAATTACATATGAATCAAATAGGTTAATAACACCCGTTATGAAAACTGAGAGCAAGTCTTATGCTGAGAGTACAGCAAATGACTTGGCGCCCACTTGGCAATCAACAGCTCATAATGATTTAACCGTTACAAAACACTTGCAAAAAACAGATGTTTTACAACACACTACAAACCCAATCGACCAAAGGTTAAATACCTACACTAAAGCTTTCATACGTGCTTCACTGAAAGTTTTTCAAAACGAACTGAAAAGTACAACAAACACAGAAAACGCTGAGCTTTTCGGTGTTTTGTTGAAAATCAAAAATCTCTACAAACCAGATGAAGCGCTGTTGACCAAAGGTCTATATAAAATATTTGAAATGATGAACGAAGTCAACGCCGATTTAACACTAACTGAAAGTGAACAAACTTGGATGGAGACGCTATTGGAACGCTTCGAACAGATGTTGCAGCTGGAACAACTGAGCACACCTATAACGGATGTATATGAGAGTTTAATCATCGAGAATGATATTGAGCAGAATTTTGATGTTGTGAAGAAATTTTGGTTGAAAATATGAATTACATTAGAAATATTTCTAAAATTACGTAGATGTTAAATATTTTTTCATAAAAATAACAAAAAATTTTTTTATTTTTTATAAAAAATGTAATTAATTATATAATACTATATTTTAATGAAATTAACATATGTAATCATATCACAATACATGATGACCTACATTGTATGATTATAATTAATCAAGTTATTTACTCAGCAATACTTCCGGAGTCAAGAATTAGGATTTGAACCCAAGCTATATAATTTATAATCTCACATCTAGTTTTATGCACCACCTGTGGTTTCATGACGATTACTTATAAAGATAGAATATACAGAGCTAGATATAATATTACAAAAAACAGGGTGTTACGAAATTATTAAAATAAAATCTCGATTTCTATTTTGCTTCACACAAAGCGAAAATAAATTTACCATTTGTTCAAAATCGACCCGGACTGCCCAAGAAAACTATATAGTCATGTATTGATACAAGTCTTTATATTCGACTTCTTTTAAGAAAATACAAGCATGCTAACGACTTACCCTTTTTTTCATACATTTGTAAAGGCCCTGAGCCTTCAGCGAATTTTGGTTTTTTTTTCTTTCGGCTTAATCGTAGTGCGCCATTCACCAGATAGATTTTCGAGCACTGTTTCATTAGCTTTTTCGATGTTATCGTCACTAACAGAAGTGGATGGACGATTGGCCTGAGGTAAGTTTTCGATGACTTCACAACCTTTACTTAATGCTTTGTGCCACTCAAATACTTGTGATCGTGATAAAGTAGATTCTTCAACACACTTCTGTAACTCCGTAGCCGTGATTCCATTGGAAACACAAAATTTAAAGCAAACTCGTTGTTAAATTCTTTTCCATGGTAAAAATCGCCAAATCAAGGTCAAATTTAATCAGACTGGTATAAACTATCGCACCGGGGGGTGTATCTATGTTTTAGGGCGAGCCAAATTAAAAAAAAAATTGCAAAAAGTCCTATTGAGGTAGATCTATTAGAAAATATTATGCTCTGCAAGAACTCGAGAGGTAAACATTTTTATCATAAATCCTTCTAACATTATGATATTTTTAATGAAAATAGATTTTTGAATGGTGTTATTTATATGTTTGAATGTTCACCGACACCTCTTAAAATTAAGCAAAAAGTTTTTTTGTGCGGAGGTATTTCTTCCCTGTTTAGAGGATAGTTTTAAGCCTTGAATTCAATAGGCTAGTTTTTGGCTCACCCTAGTATATATTTTATTTATAAATCATTGTTTTGAATTCTTCGTTTCTTAAAATAAGTTCTCAATTTCTCCAATATCAAATGAAGAAACCAGTTCAGAGCAAGCATATATTGTTATGCTCACATTTCTAAAACTCTCGCTCACTGCAAGCAAGTTTATTTTATTCTTAAATAAAAACAAGTAACGCAATGCACAAGTAAGGGGCGAATACCACCTGAAATTCTTAAGAAGCTGATATAAACAAGGCATTGTGTGCAGTTCACAACACACACAGTTTGCCGGTTACACGAAACAGCTTGCGGCGGAGAAAACCAAAGCTTTCATACTCGGATTGAAAGCAACAAAGGTGCGCATTACACCCCATATTTTTAAATTTTTGTGTAATTTGTTCTAAGCCAAGCTTTTCATGTATTTACAGTTCACGACAAACATTCAAAGCACCCAACTAATAATGGAACCTATCGAAGTCATCTTAGAAACAACGGTCATAACATTGGATCAGCTGATGAACTTTACCATAAGCCTTACGGAAGCACATTGCTACACACAAATCCATCTATCACACGATTTCATAACGAGGATGCTCAAGGAGTTGAATACATTGCCAGAAAAAACCGAATATATTCAAACGAAAATCGAGCGCGCAACGAATATTTTGGAGTCAATTGAAAAAAGCGCTTCGAATGAGTCGAATTGTTGGCTAGGCGAAGAAAGACTCGCACTTTTAGATGAAACTACACAGTTGTTTGTCGACTTAAATGCCATAGCGAAAAGTGAGGAAGCCACAAGTGATACAGTTATTATAAAAAAACTGCTGGATAAAGCTGATCTGCAAGTGCTGTTCAAGCATGTGGATGATTTGGTAAAAACGACTGAGCGAAACTTTAGTGCAGTTTTTCATCAGTTCTTTCGTTTCTTAGGAGATGATGAGCGAAAAGCTTTTCCGAATTTGCGCAATTTGTACGACGAATATCAGACTCATTCAATGGAAGGAAAATTTAAAAATATATTAAAATTATATGAAATGTTCAACTACTACAAGTATAAATAAAGCATATGTCTGATTACCATATAGGTTTAATCTTAGCTAGCCATTCGTTCCGGTTTGTCCGGGACAGTCCAGATTTCGAGTTAAGCGTCCCGGGCTTAGAAACTAAAATAAAAATAAATTGAATAAAAATGTGTTGGAATTTTTATAAAAAAAAAATCGAGGACTTAAACTAACCGTCCCGGATTTTGGCGGAACAAATATAGTCACCTAAGTTTAATCTATAAATAAATATATGTATGTATATGATTACAACGATGTGCTACAGCTTAGAATAAATATGTACTAAAGTAAAGTTTTTAAGGTAAGATAAAAGATTATAGTCTTTTCGAATTTTTCCATATATTTAGATCAGTTATAAACACGCTTTCTGCTCGGGCGCGAAAATGGTTGTGCTTTTGCTAGAAATATTTTAGAGCTTTCATACAAACGCGACCAATTGAGGAAGCTTTCTATTACCTTTAGACTTTTATATTGATTAGCACTGATTTATATGTAGGATTTTAATGTGTTTCTTAATCTGAAAAACGGAATAAAAAAAAACTTTCAGCCTATAATTCATATTTCAAAAATATTTAAGCACTTTAACAATTATATCGTAGAAGGCGTCAAACACGGTGTTTACCGCGGGTTCGAACCTTGCTTGACCTCTCGACACTCATGCTCTTCCTCATTAGCTTTGCATTAGTAGTAGTAATATGCTTCTGAGAAATATCTTGAAAGAAGCTTATGTTTTCTGAGTACATGTTAATAAATTAAATAATTTTGCATGAATCAAAACCAGTTTTTCATTATTCCGTCTAAATATAATAATAAATATGCCTCGTCGCCATATAACTACGAGGCCGTTTTGAAATGTCAGCGTCACGACCAATTAACTCTATATCATTAATGGTACAATGGCTTGACGATTCAATAAATTTGATTTTGATTAAAACAGATATCCGTAATTTTAGTCACATGGCATTAATCCACTTTTCCGAAACTAAAAACTAAAAAGTAAAAAAAGCATACATACGCATGTTTATAGAAGATACATATGTATATTTGAAAATATTCTCCGACAATCTGAAATAGATCCGACTAATAGTTTCGGAGAAACGAGTGTTTTTGTAAATTTTTTTTAACTGAGTGTTATCGGCTCCAAAAGTCTGAACGCGTTTTTCTCGAATCATTGTTTTCAGAGTCGGTTAGGGAAATCTCATTACATCTATTGTCATATAAATTTTTTTAATTTTTGAATTTGAGATAATTTTAAGCAGAAAAATCTTGCTCATCGCTAGTCACCTGTTTTTGGAGGTCCTTCTGGAGATCGGCTACTAGATGAAAGGAATCAAAATTTTTTCACAATTATTAATCAAATTTTTAAAGTATATAAAATTCTCTAAATTTGTCTTTTATTAATAAAAATGCATTTCAAACATAAAAATAATAAAAAAAAAAACAATTGTTTTCTGCCTTATAAATGGATATAACCTGCAAAACCTAAATTTTTAGATTTTGCTCTAAAAGCTTATAAAAACGGATATAGAATGGACTAAGAAGTTTGTATAATTGGTGCAAGCAAATTTTTCACTGCAAAAGTCGCTCACTTATCGTGCAGCCCTTCTATAAATCTAAAAACTTTACTTGTTGAGATTGGTGTATATTATTATGATTATTATCGGAGAACAATTTATTTATAAGCGGCCGATATTCATATAGCAATATCATTTTGATTAAGACTCTCCCTAGAAACACAAGCAACAAAATGAGCAGCATAAGGGTAAAATCTTCTGCGATACTCGTTTTAATTTTTGGTCAATATCTGGCGTTGCAGGTAAGCAGCAAAAAAATCGCATTTTAACACTTCTAAAAGGATTCTTTTATTTTAGCATGCCAACGCATTTCCTCAAGAAGCCTTTACTGCTGACAATGACGAAGAAATAGCAGCAAAGGTTGTTGAATATAACGGCAGTGACTCTAAATATTCTCTTTCAGAAAATGCAACACCCGTCCACATTCAAGTAACGGGAGAAAATGAAGATTCAAGTCAAGTTGAGTCCTCCGAAGAATTCTTCTATCTGCCAGACATATTTAACACACCAACATATCATCTACAAATTAGGTACTTTAGGCTCATACAAGGCTACGTTAACAAACTTATAACTGAAGGACGAGATTTTCTTGAGGCCTTATTGAAAACAATGAGTGCGCTACCAAAGAATATGGATATCGGAGCGAATTTGACACGCATAAGTAATATATTGGAGCGCATTGAGAGCCAAGATTTATCGAAAAATGATTTGGCTGCGATAACTGAGAAAACCGAAATTATCGATGAACTAACGGATTTCTATGGGGATTTAGTGACGATAATAGAAAACTTCCCTGAAAAGGATGCCGCTGTACTAAAGGAAATCTATGAAAAAATCGATTTGGATGGCTATAATGAACGTTTGGAAGTTTTTCTAAAAGATACGGCCAACAAAATAACGAAAGTGGCGAATAAATTCTTCAACAAATTAAAAGAAGAGGAAAAAGAAAAGTTTGCCGAATTAATCAAATGGTATGAAGACTTCAAACAGCCGAAATCCGATCTAGACAAATATAATGACGCTGTGCTTTTGTTAAGATATCTGCTGGAACATCGCATTTGATAAATTAATGTTAAATTAAGTACTTTAAAATATAAATCAAAGTTTAATGTTTAAATCAAATATTTTAGAAATTTAAAATAAGCATATATATTGCTTTCGATAATGATTATTTTACTGGCAACACAATGTTTTTATGCATTTTTTAATGGTTAAGTTATTTGCTTAAGCCAGCCTTCTATGGTAAATGATTCACTAAATATTGTTTATATTGAATATATTCGTAACATATTTACGAACACCTTTAGTTCTTTACAATATCTTGTAATGTGCTGTTATATTAATTATTGCCATTAAGCAGCTTATCAAACTCTGGTGAACAGTTAAAGTTTCTAAGAAAGAGAGCCTACAGACTCACAGAAATAGCAGCTGGGCGCATATAGACAAACAATTTTTATATAAAATAGAATATTTTGTAATTATTGCGCATAAATAAAGTTATACTCAAATTACATTTTCAATTTCACTCAGCATGAGATCTGGAGAGAATCACAAAAACAGCAGTCAACTAACATTTGTAATTTCAAACGGCAGTTCATTAGAATTTTAACTTCATAGCTGAGTTATGCATCGTAATTACGAATATTAAACAACATGCGAAATGCATTTCGCGCAAAAAAGTTATTTCACAAGCTTTCGCAATTAAAGCTCAGCGAGGAATGACAAACGAAACAAATGAACAATTACATATATAACTTTGTTAGAGAGGCACGTGTTTTTTGCCACTTTTTTGCGATTTATTGTATAAAAGGTGTTAACGAAAGTGAGTAGAACAACACCAAAAGAGAGTGATAATACAACGCCACATTTGTTAAAAGAAAATTTGCCAATTTCGAAATAAGCTAAAGGTCCAACAACACAGTCACAGATATCACAAACACAGCAGATGGACTCCGAAAGTGATGCGGCGCTAACAAGTCGTGATGTTCTCTACACGCAGGCCTGCAAGGAAATGTCAAATTACGCGAAGTACTACGTGAGTGTCTATCTGCCCATTATACAACTCACATTTAACAAATTAAAAGTATTGCCACAGAAAAGTGTTGCACTAGAAAATAAAATGCTTGAATTGCAAAGTGTTTTAGCACAAATTGAAAGTATTGACCTGAAGGCTGACTTTGTGTGCGACGATGATCTCTATGCCATTGTCGGAGAGATAGGAAAAGTAGGAGATGATTATGTGGCAATGCGTACAAAGGTGCAGTATAAGTCAGATACCGATTTAATACAACAGATATTGACGGAAGTTGGCTTTGAAACACATGAAGAGAGACTAACGGAGGCAAGACGTTTACTGGTAAAGAATTTCACCAATGCTTTGGATAACTTCAACGCAACGATTAGTGACGCGGAGCGCACGATAGAATGGGAGCTGGTAGAGTTTTATGAACGTTTTAAAGCTGCATCCGATTTTCAAGAGCAATTTAACTATTTCGACGAGTTTTGGGCGATATTCTGGTGACATTAATTTGCGAAAGATCTAATTTAGTTTAGTATGTTTGTAATTATAATATGTATGTGTATGTATCACTATTGCGGCGTAAAAATTTTTTATTATAAATACGGTAAACTCAGTTCTCACGAAAATTGTAATCCGTTTCCATGAAGTTGTCATTTATTTTTGAGGTGAAGGCGTTCATTCAGCAGACATGTATAAATTCCAAATATTTACAAAAATAATGGAGAAAGTTTATTTTAAAACTTAAAGAATCTAAGATTTGTCAAAGAACATTAAGCAAGTTCGAAATATGAAATGAGAAGCTCAGTTAAGCATCTAAAAAATTTAAGTACAATAGACTATTACTAAGTTTCCATTTGAACATATGGGACGGATATATTATGTGTGCTCAAAATTTCTGATCGCTATCTCAAAAACTGAGAGACTAGGTCGCGTATATACAGACATACGGACATCGCTAAATCGAATCAGCTCGTCATGCTGGTTATTTATATATATATATATTATAATAATTTCGAGCTTTCCGTCTGCATGTTACGAATTACGTGACTAACATAATATACTCTGTTCAAGGTATGTACACAGAAATTGAAACTAAAGTTTTGTAAGCATGACGCAGAGGCATGGGGTCAGAAAAGAAAATATTTTTCGGTATTAGATCGCTGGGATCAAACTTAATACATGTGTAGTGGATATGCGCATTCTTAATGTGGTGTCCCTGCATATACAAACATATGTTGTTCCCAAAATACAGCGTCTACCAATAGAAACGGCCTGATTTTGACAACTTTGACAACCATGTTTGTTTACGGATTTGTGTCAAATATTGTCAGTGTGTTCAGTTAGGTTTGCCATTTCATCATGTCATGTTTCACTTTGGTACAGCGCTTTGCATTTATCCAAGATTATTAAGAAGGAATTCACGTTCTCCAAAAAATCCAGAAATCCGAAAAATCATCTTCTCAGGCTCTTTTCTGGCTTAATGACTTCGTCAACAAACAAAATTGTCGCTATTGGAGTGAGTCAAACCCTCGTGTGGTTCCGGAAACGCAATTGCCGCCCAAAAATTTACTGTTGGGTGCGGTTTGTGGTTCGGCGGCATCATCGGGCCTTAGTTCATTCGAAATGAGACAGGAAATGTCGTTACCATCGAAAACTATATCACGATATTGACGGACTATTTTTAACATATTATATTGTGGCGACGTTAATTTCGAGAAATAATCCAGTCTAATGACCGTCAAGATCAAGCCTCTATATTATTTTCTCTTTGGATATGTTAAATGAAGTTTATGCTAATCAACAAGCAACGCTCGACTAGTTCGAAGACAACATCAGCACTATAGTCGAAACTCTATCTGAAATGCTGCACCGGGTCATCGAAAATTGGCATAAACGGGTGGAGATATGCAAACGCAGCCATGATGGCCATTTGGCCGACATTTTGTTTAAATCATAAATGACATCAAATTATCTGCATAACAAAAACGAAATCCATGTTGACAGAATTTAAGTATTTTATTTCATTTTAATATGACGTCGTTCTTGTTGGTCGACCCTGTATTTGTGATCTTTGGAAGATTTCGTCATATAGGACTAGGGAATTTTATACAAGCGAGAAGAGAATGAATAAACTTGTATGTTTATGTCGAGTTCTACAACCCTTAATCAACAATCTAGTTTATTCAATTCTCCCTCTGATTCAATAGCATTCGATGTTATACAAGTATCTCAACTTTTGATTCTAAAATAATAGTATTAAGCAGTAAGGGGACTAAAACACTGTTAGACGCATATCTCCTGCCGGAATGTGGAAACAATATTACGAATAACTCATCATTTCCTGTTGGTCTGTATATTTTACTTTCCTATAATGAGTAAAGTAATTGCTTGTATTATTTGTAGGTCTCTAATGAGTATACTAGATATGTATGTGTATATATATTTTTTTTTTTAATTTTCTCAGTGGTGTGTAACTTTACTTTTATTTCTGATTTGAGTAAAACAATAAACATAAGTAAGCTGACGTACATGCAACGGAATATATTAAATGCACAGCCAACAAACGGTATTAAAATTCAATTATACTGTCCAGAACATTACCGGGCTACTAAACAGTTGTCTATAAACCATTGTTGCGCAAATTTATAAATGCTACCCGCACGTACGTGTATATATATATGTATATGTGCACTTGGGGCTCATATAAAAGATTAGCATGGCTTGAGCTTCGATTTAGTTTCTTTTCGAATTTTCGAAACAAACGTAACACGAATATACGTAAAGTCATTACATAAAATGAGTACGAGCTGGCTTGTATTACCTTTAAGCTGTTGCATGGCCTTGGGGGTAAGTCACTAAATAAGCTGATAGTTCTTACAAACCACAAATAAACCGATGTTTTTTAATAGCTTGCGGCTGCATTCCCACAACAAGGTACATACAAAACCAACGACCCGCTTACGGCGCTTTCACAGGAGAGTACTACCGAAGACAACAATGTTTCCAGCAACAACACGAACACCAAATTAAGCTTGGCAAAACATGACTTGTTTCTCGACACACTGGAAATACTTGCCAATCAGTCCACCGATATTTTACGCATTTCGAATGATTTAATCAGGAACTTAATCGAAGAACTGAAAGCACAACCTAATAGAACTACAGAAATAGTTAAATACATCGATCGAATCGATAAAGCGCTAAAGAGTATTGAAAAAATTGATTTTAATGCAGAAGAAGCGCCGCTGGAGGAAATTTTCGCGTCGGTCGACGAGATTGGTGATATCTTCTCTGACATTGACTTCATGGACGATGGTGATGACAGCGAACTTTTACAAGCGGCGTTCGATAGAATCGGTGCAGAAAGTATGGATAGGAAGTTTAATGAGACTATGGTACATACATTATCGGAACTCACAAAATTATTCGATGACTTTGCGCACTCACTGAGTGAAGTAGAAAGACAAGCAGAATATCAATTGGTCGACTGGTTCGAACGCTTTCAGAAAGAGGAAGATTTTGAAGAAAAACTTGGAAATTTAATAGATGAATTTTTGACATTTTTCGAGTAAAAGTTTGCAGTTGTAGTTTGTTGCTTATACTTGTAGTAGCTATACAACATTTTCAAAGCCACCAGTGGTATATTTTAGAGCTTCCAGTATTAAAGAGCAGTTTCTGTACCTGACTTCTTTTAGTGTACAAGTTTCAGCTGTGAATTTAGATTATATATTTTACTTTAGACATCGAAGATCGTCATTTATGATCATCGTTCAATCACTAGTAGTCTGAAATGCATTCTCCTCTATGTGAGATTCCTAAGATAACACTACTACCTCATATCTCTCTAATTTAGCTTCTATCCAGTCAAGTTTAGTTTGTTTTCATAACTCTTATGTGGTTTTGAAAACACAACGGATTTCTCGTCTCGAACCAACCCTTCAAAAGCTACTTCTTTTCAACGCTGCTACGTTTTTAAGCATCTTTTTTGTGACCTCTACTCGACGTCGTTTTAGTAAAACATTCATTGTCACGTTTCATAGCCAAAACAAACCAAAATGTGTTGAGTAAATCTTGTGATCTCTCTCTGATGCCAATACGATGATTTTGAAGCGCTGGTGGATGGACGACTCACAAGAGGCAAATTTTCGATGACTTAACGACCTTCACTTATTGATTTTTGCCAATCAAATACCTGAGTTCGTGATAAAGTAGACTCCCCAAAAGCATCCCCGCAGCATTTTCAACAATTCCGCTGTCGTGATTCCAGACAAACTTTTCGCTTCGCTACCAAACATACACTAGTTGATATATGGAGATCAAGCTCTACACGAACGTAAAAACAAAGAATGTACCAATCCAGGAATAACTTTTGTATAGATTTGGACCAGTCCAAATTTGATCAGATATTTGGTATATGTATGTTTCGTGTTAACTTCTTTCCGACTTTTTTTTGTTTTTTTCGGGTATTATTAACAGAAAAATTCCGTCTTACGGATTTTCAACTCATTTATCAATTCGTCCAAGACATTGCGTTTTAGAGCAGCCGCAATAAGTAGCTCCTCATCGGAGTGCGTTGGCAAACTGGTGGTATTATAACGATGCAGGATGTCTTCGAACAAATTCATTGTGTGTATCCTGGTGACGATATACAGGAAACCATCCAATGATGAAATATTTGCTGGAAGTGGCTTCAGGCGCACCCTTGTTTCCGCAATCTTTTGTTTTTAGGGATATAATATTTTTACTATTTTACAGCTCCCCAATTGAATATAGTTTTATTATCTAGTTATTCTCAACTTTTGTTTGCACGTTGTTTCTCCACATAGCTTTCGATTTGTACTAATTATATATGCCGATATTTATAAACATATGCGGAAACGTCAAAACTGTCGTTATCTGTTTTATCTATTATGCTTAGGACAGTAATGACCACGCCAATTCCACGCTGTTTTTGCAGATAAGGGCTCAAATAGATATACCTATACGTCATTAGTCATTATATAGGAATCCCCTTCATATCTACACAATTTATAATAACACCTGGTGCAAAATATATAAGCTTGGATTTAATAAGCATTACAAATATCCATACATATGAGTACACCGACACCTGTGCCGATGCTTAGGTGTTGATATTGATGAATATTTGCTGAGTAACATAGTACAAGTATTAAAATTACTTACTTCTGAAAATCAATTTCATGAACATGCATTCATCTATTTAGGTATTCCACTCCTACCAATTTTAGTGTATCTATTGCAATCATATAAAATCATAAGGTCTGGAAAAGAAAGATCTACGGCGTAATTTTTAATAGTTCAGAGATTTCATAAGGTTTTTTCTTTTTGCTCGGAAGTAGATAAAGAAGGTTGACGTTTCTTCAGTATATCTGAATGTTTGCTTGTTCACATACTGAGCCAGAAATGGGCCTCATTGCTAAACAAAATTTGGCTCGAAAACGTCCCATCTTCTTGGAACTTTTCAAGAGCCTTATAGAGCAAAGCGATGCCGCCTGGAAATGTCGAGCGGCTGCAGTTCTTGCAGAAGCTGTATTTTACTCTTGTATGCTTTCAATTTAAGATCTCGACGTAAAATGCGTCAAGTCGTTCCATACGTGACGGCCAGGTCCTCGGCTTAACTGTTTTGTATTTTTTTTGTTATTAGTACTTAGAAAAATTCATACCTCGCTACCAATAACTTCAAAATACATTTCGTTCTATTAGTTTTGTAGAAAATATAATGCTCCCCAAAAAGTTATATCACAATTTATTTCGTAAACCTTTAAAAGATATTATCGGTTCAAGTTTGACAGTTTTAAGGCAAATTAGTTTTTTTCTTTTAAATTTTATAACTCAATGTAAAAAAAAATTATTTCTAATTACAAAATTTATAATCTAGTAGGTAATCTTCTGCTCTTCAAAAATGGTCTGTATAATTTTTCGATTACGTTAAGCGTTAACAAAATATACATCGTGAAACATCAATATTCGCTTATACTATATATACCCTATAATAGAGTGGGTATAAACGCACATATATGTATATGATGTAAGCTATATATATGTATATATTATATATAACACTATTGAACGTAATATATTATAAAATTACGCTGGCGAAATTTGAACTGCGTTTAAAACTATGGTATATATATTTCTATTATGTAAACCATTCATAATAAAATTAAAGAAAGTAAAATCTAACTTTAACGGCATCTTCATGCTATTTTTATTCATTACTTTATTTCACTCATTGGTTTGTTGTTCGTTGAAAAAATTGACGTAACGAAATCCATAATTCGCCAAATTTGAAGGGGACAAAATAGATATTGATGAATGAATAAGAACTTTTCAAAAACATTCAAAATTCACCTTTTATTTTAAACACACCTCGTATATATATTTCTATTATGTATTCATTCAAAATAAAATTAAAGAAAGTTAAATCTAATTTTTACGGGATATCCAGGCTATTTTTATTCGTTACTTTATTTCACTCATTGGTTTGTTGTTCGTTGAAAAAATTGACG